ATAGCCCTTTTTTTATGCTGCAGGAATTGGTGCTTTGAGCAGCAGAGGATGCTCAGTCACACAAATCCCCTCCCTGTGCATTTCCAGCCTGGTTTTCCTGATTTCCCATCCCCACTTCCCGAGTTTCCAGTAACTCCAGAGAGCCCCCCACAGCCAAGTGGAGCCAAAGGGAAGGGCTGAGGCCTGGAATTTCTGAGATCTCTGGGAAGTTCCCAGCACTAGGGGTGGTTATATTTAATTTTCAGCCTCATTTTTAACTCCCCTTCTCACCCCTCTCCCTCCCAGCCCCGCTATTTTTAACAGGGGGATGAAAAACAACAGGTTGGGATTGGAAAAGGGGGGGAAAAGGGTGAGAAACCCCCTCACTTCAAGCTTTGGGAAGAGCAAAACCCATTCATTTCCTGCATGAAGGTCCTTCCATATCCAGGAGTGTGAGGAAAAGCAGGAAAAGAGAGAGATCCCAGAACAAAAAAAAAAAAAAAGGGTTTTGTTTGCTGCTCAGGGTGAATTTGGGTGTGAGGAGAAAGAGCCCTTACCCTTTGCAACCTCAGCTTCTCCTTCTCTGCTGAGCTCCTGTGGAATTTCTGAGGCACCTGGAAGCACAGAAGGGAAGTTTTAGGGAAGAGCCACATCCCATTCCCACAAAAAACAAAAAAAATAAATGGTACAGATTGAAGTGGAGCAGCAGATTGGACCCTCAGAATTCCTGCAGGGCACATCCAATCTCCCTGATTCCCATTAAATCCCATTCCCAACTTTCCATAAACCCCTCCCTCAGCTCCAGAGTGCCTTCTCCAAGGGGATGTGCCCTGGAATGCAGACCTGCTCATTAATTTGGGGCAAAGTCACTTCAAAATTTGGATCTGGGACTGGTTTTTTTAGGCTGTTTCTTCTCGTCATCACAGCCCACTTGGTTTCCCATCCAGCCTAAATTCCCAACAGGTCACACTTTTTACTTCTAAGGAAGGGATAAAAGGGGTATTTTATGTTTAAGATCAGTGGTTAAAAGCTGAATTTGTCAATATTTCGGCACCCTCTTCCCCCTGCCACTCCCAGCACCAGGCACCACACTGAAACTCTGCTCAACAGACTAACACAGCCCAGCTGCTCCATTTTCTATATTTATCTGACACAAAATAAAGAGTTCTTTCAAAGTGGGAGCTTCAGTTTTAGCAGGGAAACAAACATTCCAGGCCTCTCAGCTACGGATTTTGAGGGGAAAAAGGGGGGGAAAACTCCCATTTTAGGGAGCAAACCCAGTCTTACCATGGCCCTGTTTGCAGGATTACACCAGGAAATGAATATTTTTCTGTTGTCCTGCTGCACTGGAAATACTTCATGCCTGCTTGAGTGTGTCTGTTTGTTTTAGAGATTAAAGATTGGGGGTTTTCAAGGGGGGGAAAGAGATCATTTTGGGGGGGGGGGGGGGAAATCGATAATTTTGGGAGTTCCTCACTCATCCAGGGAGGGTTTTCCCTCAGTTTGCCCTTAAATCCTGAGGGAAAAGTTGATTCAAATCTCTCTCCAGAGGCTCAAGGTGGAATAAATAGGGAAGTTAAACCCCTTTGACCTTCACTTACCTGAAGAACACACCTGGTTCTCCACCTCAGCAACTTCCCCCTTGACACCACCCCCATTTTCCACTCTAAAAGTGGGGTGGAACAAAACAAAGGGGCAGATAATCTGACCTAAAGGTAAGCCAGGCTTGGCTGCAGCACCTGCCAGGGGTGATTGTGCCCTCCCTGATCCCTTCCCTGGAATAGCTGAGCCCTGGGAATGTTTCCTGTCGTCCTTGGAAGTTTCCCTGTCGGTATTTTCTCCCAAATCGAGGCATTTTGGAGGGGTCTCTCGTTGAAGCAGGAACCAGGAGGACAACAAACCACCTCATCCAGGGCTGATCCCAGAGAATCTCGGGATTATTTGGGTTGGGATGACCTCAGAGATGAGGCAGTTCCACCCCCTTTGCAACTGGATCCATCTCAGGTTGCTCCAAGCCTTGGGCACTCCCAGGGATGGAGCAGCCACAGCTTCCCTGTGCCAGGGCTTTTCCATCCATGCCAGCTGCAGGAATTCCAAGCTGGAAAAGCACCTGCACTGATTTTAACAGGGTGGGGGCGGAAAAGGTGCTCACAGGAATTCCAGGAGGATAAATAAAAGCTGGAAAACAGCACCTAAGGGGCCAAACTGTTACCAAAAGTCCCAGCAGGAGGAAAGGGGAGGTGGGGGGGTGTGTGTTGAATTAAACACAAAATGAAACTGTAACAGAGCTTAAAAGTTACAATCCCAAGGCACAAATCCACCAGCAGCTCAGAACCAGGCGAGGCAAAAATCCTGCAGGATTTCCAGGACAATTCCAAAGCTGTCAGTAAATCCCGGGCTCAATCACCACCACCTTCCCCTCCGCCTCTGGGGCGTCCTGCTCGCCCCCTTCTGCCCCACAGGCAGCTGGAAAACCCTGAAATGAGGGGCAAACCAACCTTCCTGAGAGGGGTGGAGGCAGCCAAAGGATTTGTGTTCCTCTTGGATCCCGCCCCGAGCTCGGGGGAGCTCCCTGAGCTCAGCGAGGATTCGGTCAGTCCCGAGTCTCCCTCGGGAGACGATTCCAGGGCCTCGTTCCCCTCGGGAGGAGCCCCCTGGGGGTCTCTGCCGGCCATGATGTCCTCCAGGAGCACCACGGGCACCTTCCTCTCGAAGAGCACGGCCTTCAGTTCGCTCTGGTCGCCTCCCAGGGCCCTGCAGGGGGAGCAGGGCTGGCTCCCACCTCCCATCCCGGCTTCTCCAGCTCCACAGGGCACACCATTCCCGGTGGGATCCGCTCCTTGGGCGCTCTGAGGGGAGCTCAGGCAGCTCAGCTGCTTCCCCTCCTTCCCTGCCCTGCTGGGGGGAGCAGCTGGAGGGTCCAAACCCCCCCGGGTCGTGGCGTCACCGAGTCCGTGGGCAGAGCCCTTGGGGGGCTCAGGGTCACTCGTGGCACCCCTGGGGTTCTTCTGGATGAAGTTGTCCAAGGGGCCTTTCCCATTGACGAGTTTGGGGGCGAAATTCCCATCGGGGCCCAGCTGGCAGTCGTTCTCCACGTTGTCCAGGGATGTGCTGGATGAATCCAGGGCGGGATCTTTGCCGGGATCGAAAGCGCTGGGAGAGCTCTTGGATTTCTTCACCTTGGGATCCACCTCATTATTGTCCTTCGGCACCAGATTGAGGCGCTGGAAGGGCAGTCGAGCTGCAACAGCAACAACAACAGGGGGTTATTTGGTCACATCACACCCACAAGTTGCACAGATTCAGGTGGCAGGCACACCCTTACCTTGCACGAGCTTCCGAGGAGGAACAGCCCCTTTGTCCCTGCACTCCATGGCTGGGAGAGAAAACACAACCAAATCAGCACCTGGGGGGGGTGTTACCAGGGACACAACAGCCCAACAGCTCCCCCAGGGGCTGTGAGGGGGCACAAAGAGGTCCCGATGTCACCCCCCACCCCCCAGACTGAGGGCAGGAACAGCCCCAGGAGATGGGAAGGGAAAATTCTTCCCCATGAGGGCAAGGGAGGAACTTGGATTCCCCAGAGAAGCTGTGGCTGTCCCAGCCCTGGGAGTGTCCAAGGCCAGCCTGGAGAACAGAAGGCTCCAAGAAGATCTGAGAGCCCCTTGCAGGGCCTGAAGGGGCTCCAGGAGAGCTGGAAAGGGACTGGGGACAGGGGATGGAGGGACAGGACACAGGGAATGGCTTCAAAGTGAAAGAGGAGAGATTTAAGCGGGATATTGGGCAGGAATTCCTCCCTGGGAGGGCGGGCAGGCCCTGGCACAGGGTGGGCAGAGAAGCTGTGGCTGCCCCATCCCTGGAAGTGTCCAAAGGCAGGTTGGGGCCATCTGGTCCAGTGAAAGGTGTCCCTGCCCGGGGCAGGGGGTGCGATGAGACAACCTTTAACCCCTCTCCCGCCCCGAACCGATGTGGGAGCCCCCCTACAACCGAACCCCTCGGCGGGCCCGTTCCCAGCGCCTCCTTTGTTACCCCGCGCCCCTCACCGGCCGCGGCCCTCACCTGTGCCCGCGGGCGGCGCGGCCCCCGCGGGTCCCCGGGTGGTGGCCGAAGCCCTCCCGACCCGCGCCGTCCCCTCAGCCGCGGCCCGTCCCGTCCGTGCCCTCAGCCCGTCCCGGCCTGTCCCGTCCTGTCCCGCCGCTCCCGGGCCCGCCCGGCCCGTCCCGCTCGTACTTGGCGGGAGCCGGGGCGACCCCGCCTCCCGCCGCGCTGATTGGCTGACCGCCCTCCACGTGACCCGCCCAGCCGCCCGCCCCCTGCCAGCGATTGGCTGAGCCCGCGCGCTGCCGCTGATTGGCCAGGCGGGCTGTCAGTCCGGCGCGCTGGAGGCGCTGATTGGCTGGCGGCGGCAGGGCCGGCTGGGTGCTGGCGGCCGGGGCTCCCGGGGCTGCCGCAGTCACGGCGAGCGGCGCCGCCGACGCCGCGGGAAAGGCCGCCCCGACCTGCCGCTCACCTCTCCCGCAGCACCCGCGGAGGCGCCAAAGCGCCGCTCGGGGCGCCGAGCCAAGGCGCGAAATGGCGGCGGCGCCAGCAGCCAATCAGCGGCTCGTTGGCGCGGTGCGCAGGCGCACTGGGCGCCGGGGGGCCTCTTGGGAGTTGTAGTTCTCCTTCTCAGCAGCGCGGCGGTCTCACCATCCCTTTCCTCGGCGGGCGGCTCCGGCCTGGTTGTCCCCGTGTCGCGCTCTCCTTCCCTTCCCCACGGGTGACACGCGTGGCTGTCCCTCAGGAATAAACAAGCAGCTACGGCCGACTCTGTCTCAAAGCGGGGAGGCGGGTCCGCCGCGCCAGCAGGGGGCGCCCTGGCGGCTCGGGGCGCTCCGGCCGCGCCGCTCGCTGGTCGGCGGGCCCGGGCGGCGGCGGCGGAAGCGGCGGCGGGGACGGGACGGGCCGGGCAGGGCCGGGACGGGACGAGGATCCCGAGGCTCTCCCGAGGATCCCGAGGATCCCACGGACACGGTCCCGCCGCCTTCACCCCGCGCCGGCACCGCTCCCGGCACCATGTCGGTGGCGGGGCTGAAGAAGCAGTTCTACAAGGCGAGCCAGGTGAGGCACCGGCAGCACCCCCTTCACCCCCCGCAGCCCGGTGGTCCCGAACCCCTCCCCGCGATTCGCTTCCCCCTCTCTGGTGTCCCGATCTCCGGTTCTCCATCTGCTCTCCCCCCCCCCGCCCCCCATCCCGCTCCCGGTGATCCCGGTGTTCCCGGTGTTCCCGGTGATCCCGGTGATCCCGGCGCTTGGAGGGATCCCGGGAATGTTGGTCCCGGAATTTGGGTTATGGAAATGAGGATCCCGGGATGGAGATGCTGGGAATGGGAGTCCCCGGGAATGGCAGTACCGGGATGGGGGGCCCGGGAATAGGGGTCCCGGGGCTGGAGATCCCGGGTTTGGAGATCGCCAGGAATGGAGAACTCGGGATGGGGCTCCCGGGATAGAGGTCCCGTTCTCCCGGTTGGATTATTTATGGAAGCGATCCCAGCAGGAAATTCGTTCCCTGGGGACCGGAGGGTCGCGGGGGGGTCCCACAATGGGGGGGGGTTCTTCCCCCCCCCCCCAAAATCCCTCCGTGTCCCGCACGCCCGAGGCCGGATCCAGCATTCCCCTTGGGAATCCGCAGCCGGGATTTCAGGAGAAAGCCCTGGATTTCGGGAGAACCCCCTGTTTAACCCCGGGCAGCAGCTGCAGCTCGACCCCGGGAAGCTGCGGCTTCCTGGAGAGCAGCTGGAGCAGGGCAGGCTTTGGGGGTGGGAAAGGGGAGCCTGGAGCGCCGGGAAGCGGCTGGGAATGTCGGGAAGAGCCTGCCAGCTGTGGGATCGGCAGCCGGGATGGACTTGCTGTCTCTCCTTGGAGCTTTTCCCTCGGAATTCCCCATCCCTGGAAGTGTTCCAGGCCGGTTTGCAGCGACCTGGTTTAGTGGAAAATGCCCCTGGATCATCTGTAAGGTCCCTCCCAACCCATTCCATGATTCCCTGTGGGAATCTGCACAAACACCTCCTCCCTCCCCGCCATTCCCAATCCCTCTGATCAGGATTGACCCTCGGGATGTTTTTGTTGCATTTTGGGAACAGCTGGGGATTCCCAAACCCCCCCTCAACTGTGTTTTCCACCCCCTCTTCCCACCCTTTCCCTCCTCCCATCCCCATTCCCGACATTTGTCGCCTCCACTCCCGGCTCCTTCCTATCCCTCCTCTCTTTTCCCTTTTCCCCCTTTTTTCCCCCCCCTCCTTCCCACTCCAAGCAGGATCAGCCATTTCTTGGCTCCTTTCCCCACCTCAGGCTCTGCCAAACCCAAACATGTGGAAGATCTTTCCCCAAAAAAAAAGAAAAAAAGTTTCCTTTTCCCCCTTCCACGTCTTAATTGAAGGAAAAAAAACTCCTCCTGCTCCCCATTCCTGCATCCAGAGGGAGCAGGGCTGGGCCCCATCCGTGGGATTCCTGCCAGGAGAGAGCCCAGGGGGGAACAAAAAATCATGGAAAAACCTAAAAATTCCAAGTGGTGCCGTCAAAGCCTGCGGATGGGGAGCCCCTTCCCAGCTGAATGTTCCCTAAAAAAAAAAAAAAGGATAAATACAGGCTGGAGAAAACAGCCTGAGGAAAGGGGGAGAAACAGCGGGAGCAGAGTGGGAATTCCCTCCAGATAGGAATTCCCAAGGACCTTCTGGTGCAGATCCCAGGAGCAGGAACAGATCCCAGGAGCAAGAGAGGATCCCAGGAGCAGGAGCAGATTCCAGGAGCAAATTCCAAGAGCAGATTCCAGGAGCAGATCCCAGGAGCAAATTCCAGGAGCAGATTCCAGGAGCAAATTCCAGGAGCAGATCCAGGAAGAGATCCCAGGAAGAGATCCCAGGAGCAGATCCAGGAGCAGATCCCAGGAGCAGATCCAGGATCAGGAGCAGATCCAGGAGCAGATCCCAGGGTCAGGTCTCTCCTTGGCTTTCCTGCTCCAGTGCTGGTTGGTGACAAAGGCAGGATGAGGCTCCCAAGGAGCAAGGAATTCCTGGCTCCAGGATCCTCACCTATCCTCTGGATTTTGGACTGGGGAGGGAAGGGATTGTGCAGATTCCAACCTGGAGCCTCCTGCCAAGTCCCACAGCGGAGTTTGGATCCGGTGGGATTGGACTCTGCTCCCAGGGAACGAGGGACAGGACCAGGAGAAACATCCCCAGGCTGTTTAGCTTGGAAATTCGGGAAAATTCCTCCCTGGGAAGCTCTGGAATGAGCCCTGCAGGGCAGTGGTGGATCCCCATCCCTGGAATTGTCCCCCAAACCTCTGGAATGTGGTTGGGAACACGGCCTGGAGCTGCTGCGCCCACACTTGAACCTGGGGATCCTGAAGGTCCTTTCCAAGCCCAGCAATTCCATGATTCCAAACCCTGGAGACAGGGATCAGGTGTCAGAGCATCCCATCTCCCTTGGGGTGCTGATGGAGCCGTGTCCAGGATATTTTCCTACGGATTCCCCCTCCTTTCCTGGCAGGATTTGGCATCACCCCCCCCATGCCAGGCTGGTTAATCATCGACAGAGCTGAGCAGCTTTCGTTTTCCCAGGATTTTCCAGCCTGTCTGGAGTCCCAGGCAGGGAACGATTCGTTTCTCCACATCATTTACTGGAAATTGGCTTTTTTTTTTCCCCCCCCCCCCACTCCCTTTTTAAGGTGGTTTTCACAGCCCTCCAGAATTCCTGGAAGGCGGAAAACAAGGGCTGGAAAACTCCAGCTCTTCCCACTCCAGCAGGGAAAGTGTTCCCTGTGTGTGCAGCTGGAATAATCTGGGATGCAGGTAATGACTCAGGGATCATGTGCCACTGGAATGCTGATTCCTGAGGTCCCTGACTCCCTGAAATTGGGGATTTATCCAAGGCTGGGTGGGAGGAAATCCTTCCTTCCCCCTTTCTCCCTGGGGTTATAAAAGTGATCATTTGGACATTTTTTTTTAAAGGATTGGAGATTTTTTTTTTAAGGATTTCCTTTTCCTCCCCTCCCCCCCTTCCATCCCTTGGATTTCAGGAACAGGCTCCTGTTGACAGGAAAAGGCCCTGATTGGCTCAAATTCCAGGAGAAACCAGTTGCTGGTGGATGATCCAGCCCGGTTTTGGGGCTGGAATTTCCTGGGAGTGCCTGCAGGTACCCGAGGTCCTGCTTGGAATCCATCCTGGGCTGCTCCTGCTCCCAGGAAAACCCTTCCAATCAATCCCCTTTCTATCCCTGTAACCCTTATCACTAGAAAAAGAAAAAAAAATAATCCTTTAAAACCCCCTGGGAATTTTTGGGATCTCCCAATAACTGGGAAAAGTGAGGAGGAGTTTTTTTTAGTGGGTTTTTTTTTTTGAGTGTTTTCCCTGGATTTAGTCAAGCCCTCGTGTGCTGCTGACGTGGTTTGGAGGGAGCAGATGGATAAAGCTCCTCCTGATGGTGCTGGGCTGGTTTTAGAGGCCAAGAGGTCCGGGATTTCGGGCCTGACATCAGGGATAACATCAGGGATGACGTCATCCGGATCGGCCTCTCCCAGGATTTCTGGGACACCTCCGGCTCTGGCTGCGGGGTTTGAAAAGGGATGGAGATGGATCTGGGAGGGATCTGATCCCGCTGAAACCATTCCAAAGGGAGGCTTAGCCACGTGCAACGAGAAAAACCTGGATCTGGGATGAGCTGGGAGCGGGACAGAGGGCTTGGATGCGGGGATGGATCCGAGGCCGGAATGTGATCCCACAGCAGCCTTAGGAATGCTGGGATGGCTCATGGGATGGCTCATTCCCGCTCTCCCTGCCCTCAGGACACCGTGCAGGGCCCTGATAGCCACCAGGCTTTTCCTACTATTCAAAATCCAGGAGGAAAAGGGGTGTTGGTGGCGTTCCCAGGGATTTGTGTCCCCCCCTTTGATGTTTGTGTACACGGAGACAGCGCCGGCTCTGCTGCCCATCCCGGCCTGGAAAACAGGGATCTGCCTTTCTTTGATGTGCCTTTGGAGGCTCCGGAGCTGCAGGGAGCTCTGCTGGGCCCTTCCTGAGCCCGTTAACCCCCTGCTATCCAGGAGGGAATGTGATTGGGAATGAGCGTTCCGGGCTCTCCCTGTCCCACAGCAATTCCTGTCCCACAGTTCTCTGGATCCCACCATTTTTCCATGTCCCATCCGTGTCCCACAGCTTTCCATGTCCCACCAGTTCTCTGGATCCCCTCATTTCTCCATGTTCCACAGCTCTCCCTGTCCCACCAGTTCTCCATATCCCATCATTTCTCCCTGTCCCAAAGTTCTCTGTATCCCATCATTTCTCCCTGTCCCCCCAATTCTCCATAGCCCATCGTTTCTCCCTATTCCCACACTTCCCTGTATCCCATCTCTCCATATCCCACAGCTCTGTGTCCCAAGGAGTAGCCTTGCCTCGCTCCCATCATCCTGCAGATCCAGAGGTTCTTCCCTCTCCATCCCAGCTCTCCAATCTCTTACTGTCCAAGACTTCCCTCTGGATGATCCCACTCCGTGCCATGCACCGCAGGGAAGGGTTTTTCCCCTCTCTCCCAGTTTTCAGTGGGAGCAGAAATCCCGTCTCCTGCTTTTTTGCAGCCCCTGGTGTTTTCCAGGTGTCTTTTCCCCTCCTTTTCCCCTTTTTTAGGGGAACAAAACCCAGCTCCGTGTGGGCTGATCACTCCATGGGCAGGATGGGACTGCTGGCTGCTCTTCCCAGAGCTTTGCAGCGGGAAAAATCCGGGATTGGAGTTCGGAGGGAGGCACTTTTGGAGTGCTTTGCACTCTGATCTCCCTCCTGAGGAGCAGCCCCAAGATTCCAGAGCCAGGAATCCCTGCTTTTCTCCCCCTGGATCCACCGGGGCCGGGTGGAGCTGCCCAGGAGTGATGGCTCAGCAGCTTTTTGGAAAAGCTCTGGAAAAGCCAGGCTGTGATTCACTGGGATGGGACGTGGGGAGGCTGGGCAGGAAGTCTGGATGCAAGGCCGGTATTCCACATTTTCCCCTCAGTTCAGTGAACTTCCTCTGGATCGCTGGGATCGCTGGAAGAGGGTGAGGAGAAATCGTGGCTGCTGCTTTTTCCTTCACCCAATTCCAGGATTTTTTCCCCCCTCCCCAAGCTGAGTAGAGATTGTGTCTTGTTTGGTTCATAATTAATCACAGGAAAAAAACCAGGATGCTGCTGGGATAATTGGATGCAAATTCCCTCCCCCCTCCCATCCCAGCATTCCAAAGGTGGAAACGTTTGGGATGAGTCTGCTCCGGGAAAATCAGCTTGGGGGGGGATCCCAACCAGGATTGATTTAAATGTGGTCCTGTAGGCAAGGAAAGGGGGAATTCATGAGGCAGGAAGAATTCCCAGAGCAGGAGGAATTCCCAGGGCAGGAGGAATTCCCAGGGCAGGAAGAATTCCCAAGGCAGGAGGAATTCCCAAGGCAGGAGCACCAGGATGGCGCGTTGGGATCGGGCACATCGGGATTCGCTCCCAGAGCTCCCAGTGCTGCTCCTCCTGCTCTGCTGTGCCCAGGGAGGGATGGGAGCAATCCCTGAATCCCAGAATCCCAGCAGGTGTTCCTGCTGCAGCCAGGGCTGGGCAGAATTCCCGAGGCAGGGCAGGAACATCCCGTGCCCTGGGCTGGCCCCAGACCTGCCCGGCTGCTGCTGCTGCTGCTTCACTGACTCGGCTCTCCTTTAATTCCCGCTGTCCTCGTTCCCTCGGGCCCATCTGCTGGATGGAGATGAGTCAGAGGAGGAGGAGGAGGAGGAGGAGGCTCCTGGAAAAGATCCCTGGGCAGCTCCTGCCGTTTCCATGGGATGAGGTTACGGCCCGAGGTCACCGGGAAGCCTCCGGAGGGACGGGAAGGGAAACGAAGGAGCCTTTTACTGTTGTGGCCTTCCCGCTGCAAATCCAGGGATTCCACAATCCAGGGATTCCCGTGGAGCTGCTGGGGGTGTGTGGGGGGTGGGGGGGAGGGGAGGGATCCCTGTGTCAGATGGTGAGGGGGTGGGAAGCTCCGGAGCTTTGGAGAACACGTTTTCCCGGGACACGTGTCTGGAGCACCTCAGGGAGGGAGGGGGGCCTGGAAAGAGCCTTTTCCAAGCCCATGGAAGAGGAAGGCTGGGCCAGGATCCTCCTCATCGACAGTGGGAATGGGGAAAATGTGGGATGGGAAGTTCAGGAGAGGGTTGAGAGGTGGATAATTATGGGGAAGATGTTCGTCAGGGCAGGGTCTGCACTGGGTGTCCTGCTGGAAAAATCCACTTGGAGATGCCCAGGGATGAGAGGGAGGGATCACAGCCAGCATTTAAGTGGGGCCCTGCAGCCAAAAAAAGGAGGAATTCCCAAAGCAGGAGCATCAGGTGGGCAGTGGAGTGTCCAGAGGAATCCCAGAATCCCAGACTGGCTTGGGATGGGAGGGACCTTAAAACTCATCCCATCAACCGTCTCCTGGAATTTCCTATCCCTCTGTTTGGGAGCTGGGAATGTGGCTCCCTGTTCCCCAGGAGGTGGAGGTGACTGTCCCTGCCCTGTTCCCTGCAGGGAACGCTGGGATTTGTTTTCCTCCACCTTTAAGTAGGTCAGGGAGTTGGGATCGGTGTGTGCTGAGGGCGTGCCCAGCTCGCCTCTCCCCCCCCCCCTCCACCCCCGGGCCTTTTCCTGCCTCTGGAATGGCCTTCCTGGAGCTGGGACACCCAGGACACCCCAACAACCCCCCCCCTGCCCCTCAGAACCTTGTCCAAGAGTTCTGGACATGTTCCCCAGGGTTTTCCTTTCCTTCTCCACCCCCTCTTTGTTTAAGGAGTTGGGGCTTGATTTGCCATCTCACTCAGGGCTATTTAGGGCACCTTTGAGCTGCATCCTTTTAATTAAACATGGATGGGAAGCCAGGGATGGATTCCTGGCTTCCAGAGGCTGCTCAGCACT